CTTTTATACTTGAAAGTTGATTTCAAAGTCTATAAGATGCTTGGTTCACATTTTATTTATTTCCAGTGATTTTAGTATTATTCTATTTTCTCTGGCATAAAGCATTTCTATCAAAGAGATGATAATATAATTTTCTTTCCTATATTAAACACTTACCTCTTTTGCACAGAGGCCTGGTGGACTTTTCTTCATCTTCAAAATCCAGTAATGTTATTATAACATGTCTTGGAAGCCAATATTCTCAGGGGCATAGAACTTTAAATATGAATTTTATGTTATTTTTTTTAAAAAAATCTATAAACACTTCCCTGAAATACATACAAATGCAGATATAAATTAAAACAATATAATATTCAAGGATACTTCATTTCTTTTTATCTTCTTCAGTGATTCTATTGTCAATAATTTAGATCATCTTTGACCATCTTCAATGTATGTCACTTTTTTAATGTTTTTTTTTTTTTTAATTGTGAAAATACTGTACAGAGGGGTTACAATTACATGGGCAAGATAATGAGTACATTTCTTATCAAGCATTGTAGCCTCCTCTTTGTTTCCCCTTCCCATCTCTTCCCATCCTCCCCTTACCCCCCCACCCAGTCTTCCCCTCCCCCCCCACCAAAGTTGTAAAGTTCGCTTTCGACATAACAACTTGTACATCTCATTGTTGCAATGGGTCCACCTGTATCCCTATTTAAACGATTTGTTTTTCCCCTTCCCCTCCTCAAATTATACCAACATCAAATACAGTGAGAGCAGGGATTATACTATAGGGGAGGGATATACAAAGCAACAAAAAATAAACTTATAAATGTGTTAGAAACAATCACATGAAAGAAAAAAAAACATTTGAATACATATCTTAGGGTTCATTTCCCTAACATCACCTTATCTGACCTTTTCTGCTTGACTCAGACATATACTAGATATTGCAAATAAGGAAAACCATGGGACCTATGTTTCTTTGGGCCTGGCTTACTTCACTTAATATAATTTTTTCCAAGTCTTTCCATTTCCTAACAAATGGGGCAATGTCACTCTTTCTGATGGAGGCATAGAATTCCATTGTGTATATAAATGTATGTCACTTTCAATCCCTGCCTCCCTTCTTCTCTGCCTCTCTCCCATTTCCCTATTTCTCTTTCTTTTCTCCCTGATCCTTCCTTCCTTCCTTCCTTCCTTCCTTCCTTCCTTCCTTCCTTCCTTCCTTCCTTCCTTCCTTCCTTCCTTCCTTCCTTCCTTCCTTCCTTCCTTCCTTCTTTCCTGCCTTCCTGCCTTCCTGCCTTCCTTCAGTGATGGAGTTTAATTTAGGGCCTATGCTTGCTAGGCAGTCCTTCACTTGGGACATGCCTCTGCCTCTTTGTGCATTAGTTAATTTTTGGATAGCCTCTTCATATAGTCATGAGTTGGCCTGGAAGATATCCTCTTATTTACAGTTCTTCTGTTGCTGGGATGACAGGTGCATGCCACTAAATCCAGCTACTAGGTCTTACTTTATCTCTTTTGTCTGGGCTGGCATTGAGCTGTGATTCTCTTGAGCTCTGTCCCTGAGTAACTACCAACACAGGCATGAGCTACCATACCCAAGCTCTTCATTTCTTTTACAATTAAAATCATTTCCTCTATTTTTCTCCTATTTCTCTTGAGATATTTGCCAAATTTATTTCTTTTCATGTTTACTCTTTGGTCTTTATTTCCAAAATATTGTTTTATTTTATTTCAAGTTCTTTTCCTGATTCCTGATGCTTCACTTTTGAGTTATTCTAATTTTAATTTATGGTTTTTCATCTATTGTATAATTTTGTCTTGGTATTTTAAAATAGAAAGCTATGCTTTTAATTCATTCCTTAACTATGTCTTTTCGGCATGCTTTCATTGTCTAGTAGGCTATTATCTCCTAGCTTGTGATATTTAGCTTTCAGAGTTTCTTTTTTCTTTCTGGGAGTACTGAGGTTAGAACTCAGGGCCTCCTGCTCACTCAGCTTGCTTGCTCAACTGGTTCTCCCTCTTTAAGCCAGACCTCCAGTCCTGCTTTTTGTTAGTCATTTGGAGATGCAATCTCATAGATTTTTCTTCCCAGGCTGATTCTGATTTACAGTTCAGATCTCAGCCCTCTGACAAGCTAGGAGAGGATTTTAGGTATCAGCTAACACCCAGCTCAAAGACTCTGTGTGTGTGTGTGTGTGTGTGTGTGTGTGTGTGTGTGTGTGTGTGTGTGTATGTGTATGTATGTGTGTTTAAAACATTTGTTTTATTTAAAATTCATTGTTCTATATTTTAAAAAGGAAACACAATTGAGGGAGATTTCTGACTACATGGCTTCCTCTTCTTTCTTTTGATGATTTCCTGGCTCTATTTCCCCTCCCATACTTTTTTCCCTACTTTTCAAAGCTTATTCTCTATATGGATCAGTCCTAGGGTTATCTGTATGAATTTTTTTTTTTTTTTTTTTTTGTCGGTCGTGGGGCTTGAACTCTGGGCCTGGGCGCTGTCCCTCAGCTCTTCAGCTCAAGGCGAGCGCTCTACCACTTGAGCTACAGCGCCACTTCCGGTTTTCTGGTGGTTTATTGGAGATAGGAGTCTCACAGTCTCTCCTGCCCGGGCTGGCTTTGAACCGCGATCCTCAGATCTCAGCCTCCTGCGTAGCTAGGATTACAGGCCGTGAGCCACCAGTGCCTGGCTTCTGTATGAATTTTTAAGGTGATTTTTCTGTTTGAATTCTTAAAGGCTAGTTTGTTCCATGTCTTTAGATGTTATTATGTGCTACTGACATACAACAACAATAATTACTGACTATTTTAGGATTCTCTGGTCCTCCTATCCCCCAGATATCTGGTTGCTTCACTCTGCTTCCTCCAGTCTAGACACTGTAGGCCTTGTGACAGTTGGTGCTTTCTCTCTAGTCACTTTGCACTCTGTGAGTATAACTTGTTGTGCAGTGTGGTCATTAATCTCCAAAGATGGCCACAGCATTTCTTCTCATCTCTATACAGTATATTCTTCTCCTTTCACCATGAGCTAGAGACTATGTTTTCTTTTAAGTCTGAGATAGCTCTGTGACTGACCTGACCAATAGAAGGTAGAGAAGTGGCATTCTGGACAGCTTTGTATACCCAACCACTAGTTGGTAATTATACCAAGTCATAGGAGAGACCATATAAAGAGCTTCCTTGTATGAAGTTATGCTTCATACAAGGAAGCCATCTGAAGATTCTACCCCAAATGTGTCCTTGGATGACTGCAGATCTAACATGAGATGATAAAATGCTTGCAGTACAAGTCTCACAGTTCAAAGCATTGGAGTGTTTTGTTTGGTTTGCTGGTTCTGGGGCTTGAACTTAGGGCCTAGACACTATCCCTGAGCCTGTTTTTGCTCAAAGCTAGTGCTCATCCACTTGAGCCACAGCGGCCACTTTCAGCTTTTTCTGAGTAGTTTATTGGAGATAAGAGTCTTATAGACTTTCCTGCCCAGGCTGGCTTTGAACTGTGATCCTCAGATCTCAGCCTCCAGAGTAAGTAGGACTACAGGTGTGTTTTTAACATATCTCTAGATAAACTAAAACTCCTCATTTTGTTATAAATGTCCATGGTTTTAAATTTTATCTAGTTTCTCCTTTGTTTTTATAGAGAGATTTAGAGAAAATTTAAAACAATGTCTTGTTTTAAACATTCCCAGAATCCACTCTGACATAAGATTATAAGGTTCCTCTACGATAGACCTCAGTCAAGACCCATGAAACCACCAAGAAGTATAATTCAGACCCAGAGCAGAATGCAGGAAATTTATAGCTTCCGCCTATCAATTTTGGCCTTTTCATCAACCCTATATGAAAACAGCCTGCTTTCCCTCATTTCTTGCCCTCTTACCCATGTTGCAGTTGACACTGAATAAGTCAATAAGCCATAGAGTTAATATGAGCTTTCAAATTAGTTGTTCTTATTCTCTTATATCTAGACTGTTAGTAACATCAACTTAAAAATTTATCATAATAATTTTTTAAAGGAAATAAATCATGTGGACACATAGCATGGCAGTAATGTGGCTCATTTCTAATCATTCACAAAATATTTATTGTACTCATTATAAGTTAAAGACTGTCCTAGGACTTGGGATAATTGGTACATGCCAGTAAACAAAGAAAACATCCCTACTTTTAAGGAAATTAAAGTCCAGTGACTAATGTTGTTTACATGTTTATTCAGTAGTCACCTTTTGGTTATTTGAGATTGCTCCTAGAGAGGAGCCAAACCCACTTCCACATAAAATAACATATTAGAGGTATCATTTTTTGTTAAGAAAAAGTTACTTAGGAGTGGTACTTTGACACTTCCTATTGCGTAAATAAATGGTACTTCCTGAGGTTAGTAAATATTTGTAATAATAGTAAGTAGTAAATAGAAAATAGTAAAGAGTAAAAAGTATGTAATATACAGGGGTTGGAAGATGGGAGGAAAAGGAGATGAGTAGTAGAGGGTTGTTAAAAGAGGAAAAGAGAAGAAAAAAAGTCTATATTCCCAACACCAATAATTTCAGAAAAACTAGTATTTTAGTAGGTTCCCCCATGTTCTACCTGGAAATGTACATCAACAGGAAACTTTCTACCCACCTCTGACTCTGCTTTTCCCATCCTTAGGTCTTTCTGGGATCTGTTAGTGGGTGGAAAACCTTGTCATTGTTTATAATGTTCATAAGCATGCATGGATGTGAATGACATATATTTAGAAATCAAAATAAAACTTTAGGAAGATCTTCAATTTAACGGAAACTAGTCTAGTCATTTGGGAACCACAAGAGCTTTTTAGGGAAAACCTATCTCTGCCAGCTGGAGGAAGTGTGGGTGTCTGGGGTCCCCATGACACCTGTGATGTCAGTCACCCCCAGCTTGATGCTGATTGGCTCTGAAAAGTTTTAGTAGAGTTTAAATTCCTGCACCATCAGGGAAGTGTCAGAATAGCAACACAAGAGTGGCTTCATTTCCTCTGTGAGAACTTCAGTCTGATTTTGGAGATTTGGGGAGAGAAAACCTTGTGAACTCAGGAGGGTAAGATATTTTCATCATTTAATTTGTTAAAATGAATTTGTATGCTGTGTGAAAATATTAAATATGTGCAGATGTTGAGAGATATGCTGTGCACAGAAAGAAGAGGATAGCTAAATTTTGTGGGGAGAGAGAGTTGATTCTCTTTTTTGTTCCTTGTGCTAATGCCACAGTAAGAAATGGTATTACAATGACATGTTTAGCCAATAGATCCAGGTGTTTTTTCTCAGTAATGCTTTAATTAGATCTTTGCAAAGTAGTTTTGTAGGTATGGTGAAAGAAACTAAACCAGGGTGTTAGAACTTTATAGAATATCTAGTAATATTCACTTTGAATAATAAAAATCATTCAAAGAATATACCAAGTTCCCTGAAACAAATCAAGGGAATAGTTCTAACATATCTGTATTGGTTAACTAGATATTCATGTTAGTATAATCCTTTGAATACAGTAAATTCAATAAGTTAGATGTAGTTATCTTTTAAAACAATTTGCAGTCTGGAAGACTTAGATGTGTGTAAAACCCTATCCTTATTACATTTACCATATTCTTCACTCGTCCCAGGAAGAGCTATCCCTCACAGTGCCACATGGCCTGTGGTCAGGCCATGCATTCTTGTGACATCTAGAAGATCCCATGAGTGTGACAATAAGCTGTCCTCTTCTGGAGGAATGACTTCTTGTTGACCAAGCTTTCTTTATCTGAAGCTCACATAGACTATTCTACTTTAAACTTGGTTAAAAACATGTGAATCAACATACAATTTTATAAAGGGCATTCGTCCATTGACTGGCTCCAAAATGGTAACATAGACCAATGTGACCATTAGATTAAGAGGACTTAATCTATATTTGGGGCATCTCAGAGTTATTTCACTGTGGCTGAAGGCATAAAACATTGGCTTGATTGTTACCAATCTCAAAACAGTTAAAACTACAGGAAAGATTAGAATTTTCTGGATGGGTTATTTGTTTAGTTCTCTGAATTCTGGTACAGTTTACAACTTGGTCAAATTCCACTTTATTTTCAGAGTAATAATGAAACAAATACTAACAGATTGAGGCTAGTTTCACATTAGTGAGACTTGTTTATTATTATGATTGTCATTAACTCTTTATGATTGTTATACATTACTACATATTCAACACCTAGAACAGTACATTGGCTGCTTTCAACCAATATTTATTAACTGCCAATATGTAGATATAGTGTTTATTAATATTCTTCAGAATAACAATTCTAAGATTAAAAAAAGTAACAAATTGTTTTCAAGGGCAAGACAGAGCCTATGGATTTTTCAGATTAGGTTTTCTTCATTTGGCCTATTTCTTTGATTTCGGTTTATATAAAAAAGAAGTCTGTATTTTACAAGTGAATTTTGAGCGAATGAAAGTTTCTTGAGAACACAAGTTTTGGTATAATTAGAAGACTACAATTCATTTTTCTAGATCCAACTATTTAAATCTTTTCAACTTGAGGAAAACGATTGAGAAAGTTTGAAGATCTCTGATATACTGACTTCTGAATGTGTGGAACTCAATTGAAGGTTGAAGATATTCTTTTGTTACATGGTTGCATAATTCACATGAATGTAGGATGTACAAATGATATTAATCGGAACTTGGTGCTGTTCGGGATTCTTAATCTTCAAGCTTGTAGCTATTTGGTTAATTTACTATTCATACTGAAGTGACTGAATAGCTATTTTTACTTTTAGGATAGTAGCTAAAAGTTTATACAAATATGGTGCTCTCATCTGAAAATACACTTCACAAAACTACAATTATAAAAATGTTAATTGAAAATACAACATAATTTTAAAATCTGGCTTACCTTAATATTTAAGTGTGGACTGTGACGATATTCTTTGAAAAGAACAAACCCTTTGTTGTAACTCTAGAGTATCTCATACTGTAGTCTGCCAGGTTACTATTTAGGAAATTATTGTTTTAGGTTAGGGAGCTAAACATTATTTCCAGAAGCCTGCGCAAGTTAGTACATCTCCACCTGAGATTTCTCCATGAGAAAACCTGAACACTGGAAGTATGTACTTTTTTGTTGAAATCCCCACAAAGTTTAGAATCATATGCATGAACATCTTTCATCTTCCAATTATTAGAGCTAGTGAAGCTATATGAAATACAAAAGCAATCAGTAGTTATTGACCTTTTACCAAGGCTGGAATAATTGTTAGTGTTTAGAGCATCTTGAGACTATTATTCTCTTCAAATTTCACTAGGAAAATTTTGTAATTTGCCTAACCTTAGATTCACCTTTGGAACTGAAACTATTGACAGGTAGCTATTTTGAAGATATCGTATTTGGCAAAGCTTTACTTTTGAAGAAATAGTTCTAAGAAGTTAATGTATATCTGTAGAGCTAGATTAGGTTTAGGTGATAATGCAGATTTTCAAGTTGTACTAAGCACCTGGGCACTGTCCCTTAGCTCTTTTGCTTAAGGCTGACACTCTACAACTGTGATGCACTTCTCTTCTTTCTTTTTTTCTGATTAGTTGGGGATGAGTCTCAGGGACTCTTCTGCCCAGTCTGGCTTTAAACCATGATCCTCAGATCTTAGCCTCTTATGTAGCTAGGATTATAGGTGGGAGCCAGGAATGCCCAGTCTTAGTTGATGGTAATCAAAGGATTTTTAATGCCCAGTCTTAGTTGATAGTAATCAAAGGATTTTTAAAAGAAATTAAAATAATATCAAATCATGCAAACTGATGCTTGCTTACATTTTTTGAAACAAAGTCTCTATCTTTACTCAAACAGGCCTCAAAATCACCATGTTGAAATGGCATAAGGAAAATAACCAGGGCCTGAGTTGGAGCTAGCTACTGTGGGGGGGTGGAGGGGTGGAAGAGGGGTGTGGGAGTGTGGGGTGGAGAGGGGAAGGGATGGTATGGGGAAATAAAGGAGGAGGCTACAATGCTTGATAAGAAATGTACTCATTACCTTGCCCATGTAATTGTAACTCCTCTGTATGCTATTTTCACAATAAAAAAATAAAAATAAATAAAAATAACACCGATTAAGAATAAATATAAATTAAGAAGAGGGGTAACGTGCTTTGTTTGACCGTTTGGGCTATAAGAAGTAGAAATGCAAAACATTTTTAGTCTCCATATCTTAGTATTTTTATTATTTTCATGAATAAATTGAAAAAAACTAGTTGATCAGATGACTTCTTAAATCAGGTTTCAGATATAATTGAGTATATTAAGATACAGGCAAGACATTCCTACTTTGTAGGTCAAGAGTGAGGGAAGGGATGAGAATGAGAGTGAGAATATTGAAAAGGATGACGTTGATCAAGACATATTGCATTCAAGATATATTGCTTTGTTAAATGGCAACTCCTTTGTAAAACTACTTAAAGATAATAATTTTTTAAAAAATCACTTGAAGTATTTTTTAAAAAATCACACATACAATTAAGTCTAGTGAACTGAGTTATTATCCAAAATGGGATTTGCACATTGATATGTGAAAAGAAAATTTTCCCGGTCGCTAATAATATACAACCAAGATTGAAAATCTTTAGCTTAAATCTCTTATCATTAGTAGAATATGTATTTAATACAAAAAAAAGGCACAAATGTGAATTCTGAAATTAACTCTCAGGATTAAAAAATATATGTGCAAGTCCCAGGATAAGTACTTTAGAGAAATTACCAGTGATTAGCAGTGCAGGGAAAATTATTTTCTTTAAATTATTTTGATAACTTTTTACATTAATACCTAGTGGTGCCTATTTTTAAATATGGGACAAAAATGTTCTCAAAAATCACGTTTTTGAATTGTGAAGTAAAGCTACTTTACAGAAAAAAAGATTTGGATTTGATATTTTTCTCTTGGCATGATTTACAAATATCCCAAGCCTGTAATCTCCTCCACATCCTTCAGAACTGTGAATGACACCCGAGGGAACTTAGCATAGTCATCTGAATGACTAAATGTATCATAGTAAATATTAAGAGCTTTCTGGAGCTATCATAGAAAGCCTATCAGTGTTTTTCTTTTGCAGATCAAGAAGAGAAAAAATATCTATTTTGTCTAGACATTTTATACCATTATAATTGCTACTTAGAAGCTTGTGTGTATATGTGCATGTGTGTGTGTTTGAATGTATTTATGTGTGTACAAGTATCCTATCCATGTCAATAAATATAGTATTTTAGGGAAAATAAACTGGCTAGATTATCCTATTACACACAAGTTGTGGAATTATTATTTAAAAAAGAACAACCAGAAACTTCTCCATATACTATTTTTTTTTACTTTTACCTCATTTACCATATTTATGTGGATCTGAAGAAGTATTTATAGACTCCTCATTGAAAAGTTCTAATTTTTGTTTTAGAAGTTAGGTTTTTATTTATTTTCACAAACAGCTTTATTGAGATGTAACTGCCCTCTCACACATTTCTCCTAGTTGCAGTGAACAGCTTAGTGATCATACACATCTTCCTAGGGCTTAGCAACATTCACTATAATCATATTTAGAACATTTCCATCACTTGTAAAAGAAATTCTGTACTTCTCAGCCAACACCCCTCAACCCTTCATCTTCCCAGCTCTGGGAGACTATTAGTCTACCTTCTGTGTCCATGGATTTGCCTACTCTAGGACACATCATATAAATGGAATCATGCAAATGTGCTTTTTCATGTCTGGCTTCATTCACTCAGCATACGATGCTCAGGGTTCTTCTACTTGGTGGCACGCATTGTTGATTTGCTCATTTTATAGGAGAATAATATTCCATTGTACAGATAAAGCACACTTTTTTCAATCTATCCATGCATCAGTGGATGGATGTTTTTATGGGTTCTATTTTTTAAATTGAAACTTTAAAAAGTTCAAGTGCCTTGATTTATTTAGCATGGAGTTACAAAAGACTCCTGTGTCCTTCATTACAGGTAGAGGCATCACAACCAACTATGAAGACCAGCATCCTATTTATGCTCCTGTGGACTTTATCCTGTGCTCTCCCAGTAAGTATTAGGGGGAGGATTTAATGTGTGTATACATACATATACATACATGTGCGTATGTATATATACATGTATATGTATATACATATGTATATGTGCATGTATGTGTATAAATACCCATTTAATTATTTTTGTTGGTCGTGGGGCTTGAACTCTAGGCCTGGGCCCTGTCCCACAGCTCTTCAACTCAGGTGCTCTACCACTTGAGACACAGCACATCTTTTCTGCTTATGTGGTACTGAGGACTTGAACCCAGGACCTCATGCATACAAGGCAAGCATTATACCACTGAGCCACCTTCCCAGTCCCCATTCAATTTTTTTTATATCTAAACATCACATAATTTCTATCAACTATGAACCCACGAGATCAAAGTATGTTTCAGTAAGATGATAATAACAGTTTCTAAGAAACCTGTTTTCTTGAAAATATTATCCAAATTCTCTATAGCTTGACTATGTCTAATTAAATTTGTAGGTGGCCAGGCACCAAAATGCTGAATCTGGAGAAACTGGAGCACTGGTGAGTAGAAATAGGACTTCTTGAAATATTTTAATTCTACTCTTGGTTAGTATTACCTAATTGATTCAGTGGAAAATCTTGAAACTGCTAATGATTCATGACATTAACAATGACATAGTAGGTAGTAAGAATAACCTTGAAGTTTATAAAAAAATATTGCTTAATTCAAACTTAGTAATATGATTTGGGGAGGAAGAATTTTAGCTTTATTCTTATAGCTAAGAGAAGTAACTAAATCTGGCTTGGTTATATGGTTAATAAGTGTGCAAACCAGAGTTGGAATTTCTGTTACTAGCTGCAGAATCTATATCTTACTCAGTGTGAAGTATCTCTCATAGGAAGGGAGCTGGTCTAAAGACTGGCAGTAGTTTTGGGGTTAAAATGTTGTACTAAGAGCATTGTATTCTCTACTTTGTTTCCTGATGGCTTTACTTAATCCAGCTTGGTCTTAATGCTTCTGGTGGTAGCCAAATAAAATCAGAGACCTAAAGGGGTTTTGCACTACCTCTGCCTAGAATATACATTGGTGTTGTATTTAGAATGTTTTTCAGAAAAAAATCTATGGGCCAGTTAGTTTTAAAGCAGCCCACTGAATCTCTCTCTCAATTAACCTCAGACTCATACATGTCTTGTTCTCAAGTCTAGCCTTAGTATGAGAAAAGTAGCAGTATCTTGGTGCCACCTGTTAATTCCAAATGATGACTGACTAGAGCAGACATTTGTGTCTGCCTGCAGTATCATAGACCAAAGACAAATGATTATAGCTCCTTTCTCTGGGTTGTCCCAGACTGGTTACATTCTTACGTGATTCAGAAGAGTGAAACAAGTCCAAACTATGGCTACCACAGTTAAATTTCAGATTTAGAATTTTCTTAAATCTCAGTGCTCTTCAGTGGTTCAAGAAAGGTTTAGCTAGGTGGCAGTTTACATTTGTAATTCTAGCTACTCGGGAGGCTGAGATCTGAAAATTGAAGTTTGAAGCCAGAGCAGGTAGAAAGTCCCTGAGAATCTTATCTCCAATTAATTACCAAAAAGCTAGAAGTAGAGATATGGCTCAAATGGTAGAATGTTGGCCTTGAAAAGGTTAAGGGACAGTACTCCAAGCCAAGTTCAAAACAAGAAAGAAGAGAAAAAGAAAGAAGGAAAAAGAAAGGCATTCTTTTTTTTATTATTATTTGTTTTTGGCTTGTTTTTTGGTTTGTTTTGTTTTTGGGGCTTGAATTCAGGACCCGGACACTATCCTTGAGCTCTCTTGCTCAAGGCTAGTGCTCTACAACTTTGAACCAAAGCTCCACTTCCAGTTTTCTGGTAGTTAATTGGAGATCACAGACTTTTCCTGCCAGGGTGGCTTTGAACTGTTATCCTCAGATCTCAGCCTCCTGAGGCGCTAAGATTACAAGTATGAGCCACCAGTGCTGGTCAATCACATTCTTCATTTGATTTTGTCTACCACTGGAATTTGATTTTAAATGATTCTAAATATTTTAATGACCCAATTTGCCAATTGATACAATTTTCCTATGAAAAAGTGACTTGTTTCTTTCCTTTATTGCAGGATCCGTTGGCTCAATTAGCAACACCATCCCCGGTAACTGTCTCATTTATCTGTCTCATGACTTTAATACATTCCTCATTACCTTTTATTATTTGAAAGGAAACTTAAGCAACCGATGTGTACCATAGTTTTCTCTTTCCTGGGGAATTACTGAAAGAAAACGTTATTTCCTCTCTTTCAGGGAAGCAGTGAGTCATCAGAAGAAAGTAAAGTTAGCTCAGAGGAACAGGTAATTAAACAGGCTTTCTTAGCTTTTACTGGCTGCTTAGGAAATGATGATAGATTAAATTACCTGGCAACAGTTCTAAATATAATATTTCCTAACTATGGGTTATGTTGGCTAAATAGTCCTATAAAATAAAGGAAAACGAGCAAGGACAATTCAGATGTGAACATGGTGTTCATTCCATTTTTATCATTGGAGACATAGTGGCCCCAAATGTCTCTCGTAGCTAAAGAGAAACATTCCCACATGTGAACATAGTCATTGACTATATCAGACAAGTATTAGCTCGCACAACAATGTTAAAATTGCTTTTACAACTGGAGCAAAAACCCCATGCCAAGGATCCTTTTGGGAATAGGAGAGGAGCTTTGAGGAAGTTTTATGAAAACAGCTGCTACTGTGTCTTCTAACTAGGCCTATGCATGGTTGAGGAGTGAAAAAAAATCAGATTTAGCTAATATCCTCTTACTAAGAAATGTGCATAATTCATTTTCTAAGATTAGATGTTATTACTTTGATTATCATGTAGCTATCTATCTGTCTGTCTGTCTGTCTATCTACCTACCTGCCTACCTATCTGTCTATGCCAGTCTGTTTTTCTGTTTATCATCTATCTATTATCTCTCATCTATCTATCTCTGTCATCCATCCATCCATCCATCCATCCATCCAGTGATCTATTTTTTGTGCTAGGGCTCAAACCCTTGATCTCATTCGTGCCAGGCAAAGCTCTCTAGCTCTACCATCATTATGATCAAATTCTATCCTGAGGGGCTCGAGAGATTCCAAGGATGCTTTGCTGGACATTGCACTCTATACAATAGCATGGGTTCGAAGATGAATTATTAACCTGTTCATCCCTATTTACTAATGGTTTATCAGAAGAACATTCTACAAATTAAAAAGTAAAATTAGAGAAATGCTGTTGCAGTATGGAGTGAAGTGAGCATCTAGATAGCCCACAGATAGAAAGACTTGCATTACAACTTTTCCTCATTCCTGTTAGGTTCTGGTAGACATGTTAGTTAGCAGTAACATTGATCCTGGGTTAGAGGATGGACATGGGATCTGAGATCAGCATGACATAGCTTCCTCTAGATCAGTTCCCAGAGGACTGACTATGTCTGTTTACCTAAACTCCAGGTAAACGATGACCCCAGTGACAGTGCAGAAACGGTGGAGCACCTGGATTCTGCTGATGGCCAATATATTTATAGACCAGCTGGTGGCCTCGCTAAAAGTGCAGGAACTGGAGGCCATGATAAGGAAGATGATGAAGATGACAGTGGAGATGACACCTTTGGTGACAAGGACCCTGGCCCAGGGCCTGAAGAGGGACAAGAAGGAGGAATCTCCAGGCTTGACAGCGATGAGGATTCTGCTGACACCACACAGTCCCGCGAAGACAGCACCCAAGACACCACCAGTGAGGAGCTGAACAGCAGGCTTGAAGGAGGAGACTCCACCCAGGACAGTGAGAGTGAGGAGACCCATGTTGGAGGCATCAGTGAAGGGGAGAGTAGCCATGGTGATGGCTCTGAGTTTGATGATGAAGGAATGCAGAGTGATGATCCAGACAGCATGAAGAGTGAGAGAGGCCACTCCAGGATTAGCAGCGCTGGTGTCAGGCCCAAGGGGTCCAAAGAGGTCAGCGAGCAGTTGAGCCCTCGGGACTCAGGCCACATCCCATCAGTAGAGTATCCCAGCAGGAAGTTTTTCAGTAAATCTCGAATTTCTGAGGAAGATGGTAGACATGAGCTGGCTGAGAGCCGCTCTAGGGAGGAAGTCCAGAGTGACTCGGTGGGGGACGCTGACTCCAAGGTAGCTGGCCTCAGCCAATCCCGGGAGGACAGCCAGAATGACTCTCAGGAGGACAGCCCTCAGACTCAGTCTCAAGAAGACAGTCAAGATGTCCAAGATTCCAGCAGTGAGTCCAGCCAAGAAGATGACCTGCCATCTCAGGAAAGCAGCAGTGAATCTCAGGAGGAGGTGGTGAATGAGTCTAGGGGAGACAACCCAGACTACACCAGCCAGACAGAACAGAGAGACAGCAACTCCAGCGAAGAGGCGAGCTTTCATACCTTCTCCAGCTCAGAGAGCGAATCCAGAGAGGAGCAAGCAGACAGTGAGTCCACATCATCAGAAGAGAGCCCAGAGTCCAGCGAGGATGACAACAGTTCCAGCCAAGAAGGCTTGCAGTCTCAGAGTGCCTCAGCAGAGAGCCAGAGCCCCGAGAGCCAGTCCGAGGAAGAAGCTGACAGTGACTCTCAGGACAGCAGCAGATCGCAAGAGAGCAGCTCCAGGGAGAGCACATCGAGCAGCGAGGAAGATGGCCAGCCCAAAAACATGGAGGCGGACAGCAGAAAACTCACTGTGGATACGTATCACAACAAACCCATTGGGGACCAAGATGACAATGACTGCCAAGACGGCTACTAGCATCTGCTTTCCTCAGATATGGCTCACACAGAAAGAGGGCTTGAGAATAGGGACAACTATAATTTATTGATATTTTGATCGAAAGGATAACCAGTGGCCATTTCTTTCTGAAAGGAATAGCTGGACGTTACTTGTTTCGTAGGGAGTCACTGTCTCATGAGAATTTACATAGTATGGAAGGACACGAGGACACAGTCAAGAATGGAAGCTTCTGAGCTGAAAGAGCTCCTAACTCATTCATTACCCACTGAATAGTTATTAATATTCTATTAGTCACCAGGCATTGTGCTAGATGCTGGAGAGAGGGGGAGGGGATTAATGAAGCTCTAGACCTGTTTCTTGCTCCTGAGGAGCTTAGAGAGAGAGAGATAAGCAAAGCTAAAAAATGGAAGAGGGATACAGGTGAGGGTAAGAAGCATTGTAGAGAGCCACATAGTAAATGCCATAGCAGGATGAATAAAATATAAGAGAGCACCAAAAGCGGTGATCCATGTTGTCCCAGGGAATTAATGGGCAGCACAGTGGAAAAAGCCATGGGAGTTGGAGAGCTGAGAAGGATTTCTCCAATGAAGATAACAGAATCCTATTTATTCTTCAGATAAACAATAATCAATCATATTCTTTGATGTTAATTTTGTAAAAGTACTTTCAACAATGGCACAATGGGGTGTTTTTGGATATACAACCTCTTTCCTCTCCCGTGCTTTGTGTGGACCTTCCCTGGCAGATCACCTGGCAATGATCTAGTCAAGCTTAAGGGGAGAGAGCTCCCTCTTTACAGAGAGGGTTTTTAGTGATAACTTTCCCAAAATCAGTTTTATGTACAATGTTGGAAAAACTGTTCCCTCTAGTTTTCATATTTGTTACCCACAGAAAAGTTCTGTATATATGATTCAACTAATTCGAAGAGTTACCTCAAAAGAAAGTATTTGTTTTATAATAAAGACAGTAATACCTAGAAAAAAAGTGTGCTCTTTTGTTTCTCTTTTCTTTTTTATTGTCAGGGTGATGTACACAGGAGTTACAGTTACATAAGTAAGGTAGTAAGGACATTTCTTGTCAAACTTGTTACCCCTTCCCTCATTTTTCTCCTACTTTCCCTCTTCCCCTACCCCTCTTTTTTTTTTAGTTAACAGTGGCATTGGTAGGATTTATGTATGGTGAATAAGTCTTTAAAACATTACCAAAGAGTTTAGTAATGTTCCTTTATTAACATAAAAAGTTTCTCTTAAATTACTTCATAAAAATTTTCTTTGCAATTCAGATAGCATTTTTTCTTTCCTTTGTGTCAAATTTTATGTAGGTTTATTAAAAATATGATGTGCTTACATAAAGTCAAATGGTAGTCAATGGCTACTGCCATTGTTGCTATTTGATTGCAATCTTTAAAAAGAATGATCTTTTACATTAGACTATGAATGATAAGACTTTGTTTTTCAAAATATACATGTTAGGCAACATTTTTAATAAAATTGTAGATTATTTACAATATTTCACTAGATACACTTATAGATGAGAGGGAAGAAAAGTTAACTATTGCTGAGGCCATGCCAAATGTTCTGGTGTTTGAGTTAAACATTAGTTCTTACTCATGTTGCACACTCTAATTTGTACATATTCCAGAAATCACAATGAAATACATTCCTTTGAAGAAAATGACTTCACCTCAGTTCTACTCGCTGAGAAATATATTTTTGTCAATGCTTATCCTGGAGAACATCTGAATTCCTCTACAAAATATATTACAAGTATCAAGATGACTTCTCCATTCATCTCAGGTTTTACACTGCTGTCCTCTGACAAGGTCAAAGTTGTGTTGACCTGGAGAGATTTTACACATATGTAAATGAATTTATATGATTATATAGAGAAATAAACTCATATATATATGTCTTTATATACAGACAGTATTCTGTAATTTTAATTAAATCTAGGGTTCTCTTTTTTTTTAAATTTTGGTGTTGGCCCTGGGGCTTGAACTCGGGCTTGGGTGCTGTCCCTGAGTATCTCTGTTCAAGGCTAACATTCTATCACTCGAGTCACAACTTAACTTCTAGCTAACTTAACTTCTAGCTTTTTTGGTACTTGGAGATAAGAATTTACAGACTTTCTTATCAGACTGTCTTTGAACTGAGCTCCTCAGATCTCAGTTTCCTGACTATTAGGACTGCAGATGTGAGCAACTGGAAGCTGGTGTAGGGTTCTCTATTTTTAAGAGGATCCAAGAAGATATATATGTGTATGTGTGTATATGTAAATATAGATGGATATAGAGATAGAGAGGTAGGTGATAGATAGATGAAAGATAGATAGTCCCACAAATGTTTAGGTTCTATTGCTTTTGTGTTATTTACCAGGCTCTATTAACCTATAACTTCTTCCAAGGAGAACTAGCTAATGCTGGAACTTCATGGGTGTCTGAGACCTAAGTAATCCATTCTTACTACTCAAATGTCCCATACCAGTATAGGCAATTTGACCCTGGAGAAGTTGCTCTGTAGTCTGCCGGCCTCTAAAAAGGGAGTTTCAAAGGCTCTGCCAGAATGTAAACGATAATGGCTTGAGTTCAAATCCATCTTTCCTTTTCCAGAAATTTGAATATTTAGGAAGACAGAAGTCAGAAAGTGGTTAGAAATAGAAAAGAATACGAGAGGGAAAAATAGAATTCTATTCTTAATTAATGTGATGCATATACTGAAATTGATCTCCTAATGATGAGGTCTAAAAACCACAATCTTGTTACATGCTTGGCCCATTAACCTGTTATTGCTACTGGGATTCCAGTAATGTTCTCTCAGTGTATTCTCTGTCACTCAGTTTAAAGCAACCTGAGTAAACTTTTGCTCCTTGAAATATACAAAAGCTCATTGTAGCCAGGTGCTGGTGGCTCACGCCTCTAATCCTAGCTACTCAGAAGGCTAAGATCTTAAGGATCATGGTTCGAAGCCAGCCCCCGCAGAAAAGTCCATGAGACTCTTATCTCCAATAAACTACTCATAAAAGGCTAGAAGTGGCACTGTAGCTCAAATGGTAGAACATTAGCCTTGAGAAAAAGAAGCTCAGGACCAGTACCCTGGCCCTAGTTCAAGCCCCAGGACTGTTAAAAAAGAAAAACTAAGGGACCCAGATTTTGACTCATGTATTGAGCTAGCCAGTGTTCCAAGGTCCTGGAACACCTCCCAGGCTAACTCACAGGACTTCTAAAAGGAAGCATAAGAATTTCAGTCCTGCTCATGAGAGAAATCCTCTAAGGCAGAGGTAGGTAGGTTTTCTTTCAAGTTTCCCTAGCTCATTCTGCGTATGAGTGTAGAAACTGATGCTTCTTGCTAGTGGAAGTGGAAGAGAAATGTTATTCAAAGGAAAGCTGGCTGGAATTGGTCTTCAGCTTTGAAGATGTTTCTTCATGAATCCTCATTGAAGTCTGTAGTAGATAGGTCCAAGTGAAAAGCAAAATCATAATGGATAACCAGTTTTTAATTTATAACAGTTAATGAAAATATTCTTAAAATAAAAACTTTTAAAATCCAATTTCTTTATAGTCCAAATATGGATTCTGAATTGGATGTAGATACTGTAGACTGATCATTGTTCCCCATTTTGGCTCTCCTGTTCTTTGCTCAGGTGGAAACTGGATTTGCCATCCTTCCCTGCAGCTAGGTCTATGTACCTGCCTAAAACCTGACCAATGCAATGTGAGCAGAAGCCATTGCTCCACCTCTTTCTGTTCCTCTCTTCCCATTGGATAGTAGTTGTAAATACTGAAATAACCTCCTCTATCCAAGAGATACCTTCTTGATTGTACCACAAGAGAGACAACAACTTTGGTTTTAATATGCTGTATTTTGGGATCTTTTTATTACAGCAGTTTACTCTACATACTACTATATGAATATATATATGTATAGTCGAAAACATGTGACTACTTTTGGGGTCTAGTACTGGGGCTTGATCTTAGGACCTGAGAGCTGTCCCAAGATTGTTGCTTGGCTAACATTTTACCACTTGAGCCACAACTCCACTTTCAACTTTTTAGACTTTCTTACCCAGGCTGGCTTCAAACTACATTCTTAGAACTCAGCCTCTTGAGCATCTATAATTACAGGCATGAGCTATCAGTGCCCAGTATGAATATTCTTTTAATTGTAAAATACTCTAAGTTTTTAAACAAAAATTGAGTAATCTTCCCTCAGAAATGAAGAAAATGTGGTCCCCCAATATCTTTATACATATTAAATTGGCTTTAGCATTATTTAGGTGAAATTACCAGTATGACAGAAAAAATACACAAAAATTCAGTTAAAATCAACGTACTATTTAGCCTTTCAAGTATACTGATTAAGAGAATGCTCTTACATATAAATAATGCTCTTACATATAAATTATGTTGAAGGAATAAATGGAAATTACACCTTTAAGGAATCTGCTAGATACTATTTGGTAAATTACTATACTAAAGGCTAAAACTGTTGGTCAGAATTTCAAATTGAGAAATTGGCTGTTTATGTACAGTTTTTTTTTATTATGACTTACTGTTATGACTGAACGCAAGCCAAAGAAGATAGACAATCTTGCTTATATTCCATTAAAATTTGTCCAATAGTGATGATTTTCAGCTCTTGCTAGAGCTCACCTAAGGAACTCTCAGAACTTGCCATTATCTTGGCTTCATTCCAGGAATTCCAAAATAATTAGACTGAGATTGAGCATTGGCACTTTTTTAAAGTCCCAGATAATTCTAAAGTGTAATCAGCATTGAGAATTTCTGCCATAATAATTCTGGAACATTTTGACCATTATTAGGTCACAGATGTAGGTCTAAATTTAGAGATTAAAAACAAAACCATACTTGCTGGGTGTTGGTGGCTCATGCCACCTAGCTACTACTGACTACTCAAGAGGCTGAGATGTGAAGTTTACAGTGCAAAGCCAGCCACGAGCAGGAAAAGTTCATGAGAGTCTTGTCTCCAATTAACCACCAGAAAACCAGAAGTGGAACTGTAGCTCAAGTGGTAGCGCACCAGCCTTGAGCATAAAGCTCAGGGACAGCACCCTGGGCCTGAGTTCAAGCCTCACGACCAACAATAACAACAAAACATTTTTGGCTTCCTATGCCAACAAGTTAACATTTAGGTAAGTGGAACATGTAACTCTCATCAGCTCCCAGATAGTGACTAGTTAAGACATAACTAGTGATTAGAAAGAAGAACATTTTGCTTTTTGGTGAACAGCCTAACCTGAGGTTAGTTATAATGGAGTATTTCTGAATATTACTCTCTCTGGCTTTCTATCAGTGTCTGCTTCATCATAAAAATAAGTCTAATCTAAGCCTATATATATTTCCCCTCTGTCTTGTATCACAACACAACAGGTGGAAGGAATTATGGCTGGAAAATAGCTACATATTGAAGGGCTTATAGTCAGAAAGCCTGGCTTTTTTCCTTTTGACACAGATCATAACAGTTACTTTAAACAAATGAATTTATTTATTTATTTACTTTTTGACAAGCAACTGAATTTAAATTTAGAGTTTGCTCAGAAGCCTTATTCTGTTACGAATATGAAAGCGAATGCTATTATTCTTTTGCATAAAACACATCATCCTTTACAAATTATAGGTCTAGATTCTGGCTAGAAGTTCCCAGGAGGAAAGAAGGAGGAAAGTGTAGAGGGAGAGTGAGCAACACCTCACCAGTACTGCTGCAGTCCTCCCTACCTCCTGCCCTAAATGCAACTTCAGCGTGTTCTCATCTCTTGCGGGGTGGGCTTTTTCCTATCTGCACTCCAACCCCTTAACCCAGATTACAAAGCTAGAGGAAAAATGATTTTGCTTAGGTCTGAAATGACAATTGCTATACTTTAAAATGGCAGCAATACCAGTAAGGGAAAGTTTTGCTTGTCCATTAGACATTCACACTGTGGAAGGACTTCACAGGGCCGTTGTCCTCTGTCT